GCAGTTATCTTCCGCAGTAAGTTTAAGAAAAATCATGTATATGTCTATATGAATTCAAAGGTTTCAAGTATGTATGTTTAAAAAGTATACGTACATATGTATGTTAAGAAAACCAAGGTTATAGCTAACAACTCTAGTTTTGAGTATTTAAGTTTTAGAACGTTGCAACAGTACATGCAACAAATAAATAAATTTTAAACATGACGATTTAAATGAGTAATTTTAGAAGGACTTTAAGATGTACTTGAATTTAAGATTTCTCATGAAATCCATTTTAAAGTCAAATGAGATGACCGATTGAAATGACTAGTTTTAGAAAAGCTTTTAAAGAGTATTTGAAACAAGAGTTCAAATGCTATTCCGTTTGAAGGATATTCCTGAAAGGTTTTATCTTAACTAAAATTAAGAAAAGCTTTAGGAAATTTAGTGATTCACTTATTTGAAATTATTGTTACAAATTTGAAAGTATTCCTTCTTATATAAAAAAAAAAAAAAATGTTCCGCATATTTTAAAAAACCCCAGTAAGTACAAGTTAAAGTTTAAGTTACAATAGCGGCCTCATAGGAGGGTCGTCACAATAACCATAAATAAAATTGTCTCTATATGTATTTCACTACTTTTCAGCCATCAGATTTTTATCAGAATATGTCTGTTTTGCATACTTTTTCAATCTAATATGCTTTTGACTAAATCGAGCAATCAAAAACTGAAACTACTGGTAGGAAGGAACTACCAGAGAAACTCCAAAACAAAAACTTTGTATCTATGCACAACTTATAGCAGATAAAACAAAAATCTTATGTTAAAGTTATGATAGAAGTAATATGTTAAATTTATTGGCTTGTTCCTCTGCTTTCCTCTGCTTCCTCTGTTTCGGCAGTTCACACACAATCTTTTCTGTTTTTTTTTTTTTTTTTTTTTTTTTCACCACAATTTTTTTTTTTTTTTTTTTTTTTTTTTTTTTTTTTTTTTTTTCCTAATCTCTTGTATTTTACTGCTTTAGATGATATCTTGGATAAAGTAAATGTTAAAGTTACTTGTCATAATTGTTCACTTTGAGAAGAAATGTGTAACTCTACTATCAAATCTTTGCCGTAGAGGGAAGGAAAGTTGTGTGAGTCCAAAATCCTTTCCAAAAGATCTGTCAATACATTTAAGTTGCCGTTTATTTTCTAAACCCTTTTTGGCAAATGTTTGGTGGAAAATTATCATCTTTGGTCTTAAGTCTTCCACGACTTTGAAAATCGAAAAAAAACAAATTTTTACAATTAAAAGTCATGACAGACAAGGATTCCCAAATATGAAAACTAAGACTTTAGGCACCAACGCTTTGTACTATTATTACTACGACGAATCCTTTCCTTAATGACTATATCCAAGTGGAGACCTATATATACACACACACACACACACACAAATGCTTAACCATATTTAGCTTCATAAGTGACACCATAAGTTTCTCTTCCCCACCCTGCACCACAAAACATGTATATGGAAAATCTAATCCCGTCCGTCTCAACCCTTTTCGCTTTTCTTTTTTTCATGTTAATGCTGCTGAAAATGGCGGTCGGGCAGAGGACTAAAATGGCCAAACCAACTTTGTCTTCACCACCTGGACCATGGAAATTACCTTTCATAGGAAATCTTCACCAGATGATTGGCTACCCGCCTCATCATCGCCTAAGAGACCTCGCGAAAATATACGGACCCTTGATGCATTTGCAGCTCGGTGAAGTCTCCTACATTGTTGTTTCTTCACCCGAGATCGCGAAAGAGGTAATGAAAACCCATGATGTTAATTTTTCTCAAAGACCCCCACTCCTTATCGCCAGCAAGTATTACGGTGTAGACATTGCCTTTGCGCATTATGGAGATTATTGGAGAGCGTTGAGGAAAATCTGCGTTGATGAATTGCTGAGTCCGAAGCGCGTGCAGTCCTTTCGGTCAATCAGAGAAGAAGAAGTGTCCAATCTTATTAGAAGTCTCCACTCAAATTCAGGTTTGCCCGTAAATCTTAGCGAGAAAATTTTTTCCATGACGCACGTCATCACTGCAAGGGCCGCTTTCGGAAAGAAATGTAAGGATCAAGAAGAGTTTATATCGAAGGTGGATGAAGAACTAAGGATTGCTGCGAATTTCAGCATTGCTGAGGCATTCCCTTCTCAAAAGTGGCTTCTCTGGATTAGTGGCCTTGGGCCTAAATATGAGAAGAATGTGCAGATACTTGACAAAATACTCGACAACATAATCGATGACCGGAAAGCAGACAAGGCGACGGCAAAGACGGAAAAAGGTCAAGCAGATTGTCTACTTGACGTCTTTTTGAATCTTCAGGATAGTGGCGATCTTCCATTTCCATTGGAAACTAGAAACATCAAAGCAGTAATTATGGTTAGTATATATACTTCTCTCTTTATTTCTTTCTTTCTTGTTCTCATGCAGACATATTACCATATTGCTGATACATATATATTCTCTTACTTAAAAGTTTATTCCAAATTTGACTCCGGTTGTCTCATTTTCTCAACACAACTTAAAATGACACAGAACTCCCCCTTTTAACTTATAATAAGTTAAAACGTTGATACTTTCGTCATCAAGAAGTTAAATTTTTAACAATTTAATAACATGTGCACATGATTGCTTTACAAAGGGCGATATATGAAATTTAACTAAAATATAGTTTAAAATTTTGAGAAAATAAAAATAAAAATTCTTCTTCCTCCTATATTGCCTTTTTATCAACGAGTAACGTGACTCACACCATTAAAACAGATAAACAATTATGTTTTATTGAAAAAAGTACCAAAATTACAACTTATGATATGACGGTAAGGAGGCTTGTAGTTTAGTGCCATTCAAAATTGCAGGCAACAAAGTGAGACAACCTTAATTTTACGGTCCAAATTTCAAATTGGCCATTACTTAAAAATAACTATATAATTTCATGTTGATGTGAGAGAAATGTATTTTTCAGAATGTGTTCGTTGGTGGGAGCGAGACATCATCAACTGTGGTGGAGTGGGCAATGTTGGAGATGCTAAAGAACCCAAGAGCGATGGAAAAAGCACAGGCTGAAGTGAGAAAAGTATTTGGCAATCAAGGAAACGCGGACGAAACAAGTCTCCACGAGTTGAAATTCTTAAAAATGGTCATTAAAGAAACCTTAAGATTGCACCCTCCAGCACCTCTGCTACTTCCAAGAGAATCCAAAGAAAACTGTGTGATTAATGGATATTTTATACCTGCCAAATCTAGGGTCCTTAACAATGCGTGGGCAATAGGAAGGGATCCAAATTACTGGAGCGAAGCTGAGAGGTTTTTCCCTGAGAGGTTCATTGATAGTTCTGTTGATTTCCGAGGGAATAGCTTTGAACTCATCCCATTTGGTGCTGGTAGAAGAATGTGTCCCGGCATATCATTTGGCATGGCCGATATTGAGCTTCCTCTTGCACAGTTGTTGTTCCATTTTGATTGGAAACTCCCTCATGGAATCGGCCATGAAAAGCTCGATATGACGGAGAGCTTTGGTTTGTCTGTGAGAAGAAATGGACATATCTACTGTATTCCAGTTCCTTTTAGTCCTGATTCTAGTGGGTGAGAAAAGAAGAAAAAAAAAAAAAAAGGTTGTCCTTATATTTGTATTGTCCACAAGTTGTTTTTATCTGAGACCTTTTTTTTTTCATTTTTTTTCTTTTGGCGACGCTTGATTTGATCTGGACACCATGTCCTACTGCCATGTACAAGTAGGTTACAGAAAATAAGGAGTTGGAAAAATTCAACAAAGATTAAGTCTTTGAAGAATAAAGTGAGAAAACTGTGTATATGTAGCGAAAAAGGAGAAGTTGGAATAAGACTTCCTAATATCTTTTATGTGTATATGTAGTCAATATTACTTGTATCATTAGATAAAAAAGTGTTTCTACTAATTAGTGGAACGAAGCACAGCTTTAGAAGGCAATGGTTGTCGTTGAACTTGTCTGTTAGAAGAAAATTGGATATTGTTGGTGAAAATTTCGCCCAACACCGAAAGCTTGTCTGGATCAAATAAATTTTTTTAACAATAATGTGATGAGGACACCTTGTTGAACACCAAGAACCCCACAAAACTGACAAATAAAGCACAAGAGTATCAACTGATGGCCTTTAAAAATCGTGTATCTTGACGTCTTAAAATGAGAAAAATTTTCATGTGAATTATAGTAGATGATCATAATAAATGGTTGAGCTTACCTCCAATATAAATATGAGCATTTTGTTTCATTTTCTCTTGTTTATTAAATGGATAGTCCCTCTCTTAATAGAGGAGCAATTCTGAGATAATTTTCTCCAACAATAGTTGTCGACGACTTGAATCATGATTTGAGTTTTCCGTGTGGGATTTTCTTACCAGCCACTCGGGATTGACCATAGATATAGTTGGAGATTGCCCTACAGGCTGCTGGGGATTTTACCCTAGCATCCGCTCGGGATATTCCGAACAGTGAATAGCAACAACGGCCGATCTAGATGTTGGAATTTACTTCTTTCAGTAGGAGCATGTGTCCTGGGGTAGGTCAAAGTCAACACAACTTTTATGATTATTTTATTGTGAAAAAAAAATCCTCCAATAGGTCTACATTTAGTTCCCATTGACTTTCTCAGGCAGTGGATAAGACTTGCCTTTCATGGCGTGTTTGAAGGTCTAACAACGATGTAAGACTTATTTGAAGGTCTAATAACGATGTAAGACTTATCGTTTATTGTATATTTCAAAAGTGTACAACTCTACTTTCCAAAATATCTTTGATGTAGAGACAATGAAAACTAGGCAAGTGACTTGTGGGATATTGAATTCTTTAGTCTTAAGTCTTCTATTGACTTAGAAGATGGAAAAAGCATCAATTTTATCATTAAAAGGAACGGTAGCCAAAGACTCCCAAATATGTTAACCATGACATTGTGCTAGGTGTTAGGGTTTTTGCTTAGTTGGTAATATGTTGGCATCTGGTTGCAAATTTCAAAAACATGATCAAGGTGGATCTTGGCGCTAGAATCGGATTATATGTAGAAAAATATGGTAGGTTTGAATCAGATTTGAAGCAAATTTCAAACCAGATGTCACTACTACAATTTTCCCAATTTGTGACGCAATATGTCATCGTAAATAATTTATTATTTGTGACGAAATGTCGTCGCACTTACTTATCGTTTAACAGGAGAATGTTGTTGTTGCTAATAATTCAGTAGTCGTCGTAAATATGTAGTTGGTGGTAAATGTTATCAGGCGCCAATGTTTGCCGCCAAAATAACATTATTTGCAATGACGTGTTGTCGCAAATACGTGTCGTCGTAAATAATTGTTCATTTATTTATTGTTTCCCAAGTAAAAAGGTGTTCAATTTGGTGGTTCCCAAAAATTACTTGCGACGACACTAATATGTGTCGTCACAAATGTTGATTTTGTATTCCCTCGCGAAAATAAATGACAGGGAAATTGGGCGGTTCCCAAAAACTAATTGTCATCGCAAATGGTTTTTGGATGTCGTCGTAAAAAATTCTGTCTATATACTCGCGACCAGAACCTCCTCCTCCATTTTTTCCGATCACTCTCTCTCGGCCTCTCCCTAATTTTCCGACCCCAAGCCCCCAAAACCTCCCCCTATTCCCTTATAAATCCTCACCAAATCAACATTTATCATAAGTTTTAATCATTTTCATTGTTTTTTCATCAAAAGAAGCATAAAAATCAAACTCTCTGCCATCACCGCCAAATTCCGCTGCCGCCGCCATTTGCCCCACCTAATTCTGCCATTTTCAGCTCCTATTTTAGTGGGTTTGAACTTTGTAAGTTTTTTGTATATTTATTGTATTTTTTTTAATTTAAAATGTTTGGATTTTTTTGTTGTTTGAATTTTGTATTATAGATTTTAGATTTTGAAATTTGATTTATAGATTTTAGAATTAGTATATAATTTGAAGTTTGGATTATAGATATTGAATTTTGGATTATGAAATTTGATATTGTTGAAATTTGGTATAAGTGTGTGTGAATTTCTTAGGGTGTTATTTTATGAAATCTGCTTGTAATTTGATTTAGGTTAAGATTAAAAATTTTGATGATTGTTCTAGGTGGCACATCTTATAGTTATGGTGTGCCGAAATCTTTTAAAAGTTATTTTTGGAGATCCTGAATCCTATTCCTTGTACTTTGGAGACATGATGAAGTAGGTAGCCGGGAATGTTATTATACGAGATGGAATCCATTCCTTCTTGAGAAAGAAGTATATAAATAATTCTCTTGAGGGTTGATTCGGTACTTGGACCAGTAGGAGCTCCGATTCATGAAT